ACATATAAAGTGGAGGACCTTGATGGGCATGGATGTTAGCTCCGGGTCAGTCTTCCTCAGCAAAAAGTGGAGGATTGGCAGCAGATGTTAGCTCAGGGCCAATCTTCCTCAAAAGAAAAAAAAAGGACCTCAAAATGCAGAATTGGCAAGGTTAGAGGGAAATTAGGCACACTCGTCACTGCTGACGGCAGTATAAATTGGTAGCTTTTCTGGAGGGCAATTCAGCCCTCGACAATTTGTAACAAAACACGCAATAAAGTTACATACCTCCCTTATGTTTAACACAAGCCATCCAACTGTCAAGAATCAAACAAATGGGAAAGTTATTTGCACAAAGAGATTCAAAGCAGTATATAGTAGTCACCATGGGTAACCCTGTTGGTATTTGAATACCAGTGGCATAGTTTTCAGCATGACAGCAACACCCAGACAGTATGACAACCAACAGACAGGTGGTGTGGATCCCTGACCAGAAACGAGCCTGGGCTGTGGCAGTTAGAGTGCCAAATCTTAACCACTAGAGAAGATACATATATTTGTTTACCAATAGAAGACTAAGCAAGTAAATTTTAGCATGTATATTCAATGAAATATTATGTAGACATTTAAAATTATTTCTCTCTATAATTCTGGATTTGGAAATCTGCTCACAACATATTGTTAAGCGAAAAAAAAAACAGGTCACAAAAGGAAAATACAAGGATTTCCATTAAACAATGAAGAGAAAAATTTATGAAACCTACAGCAAATGTCATACTTAAAGGTTAAACATTAGAAGTATAATAATTAAAATTAGGAATTAGATAAAAGACAAGAATGCCACTGATTACCAGGAATACTCAACTTTGTACTGACTGTCCTAATCATTGTAGTATGAAGAGAAAATAAATAAAACTGCATCAATGCAGTTTGCAAAAAAACAGAACTCAGTATTTGCACAATATGACTGACCACCTAGAAAATCCAAGAAAATCACTGAAAAAGTATTATTACAATAAATACAAGAGTTTAATAAGGGGCCAAATACAAGATCAATGTATAAAAATCAATGGCTTTCTTTTATGAGCAATAACTACTGAATATCAACCAAAACAATAAAATACTCAAGCATAATCTTAAGCAGGAAAATCCAAGAATGTCCATACGAGGTAAACAATCTAAGCCATCACTAAAGGACACAAAAGAAGATGTTAATTCTTCCCCAAAATTATGTATAAATTCAAGGCAATCCCAACCAAAATCCAAAGATGCTTTATTGAATGGAAATTGACAAATAGATTCTTAACTTTTTATGTGAAACACACACATATCTCCCACAAGAATAGCCAAGAAAATTTTGAAAAATGAAGATAAAATGAGGGGGACAATTGTCCTGCCACAGTGTATAGTTATGGTGACAAAACAGTGTATATATATATATATATATATATATATATATATATATATATATATAATTTTAAACTTCAGTATAATAAAATAAAAACAAACTTAAAACACAGACAACTAGCCAGGAGAAAATAGTTTCAATTTTCAACTGACAAATGATTAATGATTTTATGTATATATGCATACACATTTAGTGATTATATACATATATATAGTCATTATGTATGTATTCATTATGTATATAGCCGTTATTTATCTCTAATATATATAAATTACTTATAAAAAGATAAATAACCTATTAGAAAAATAGGTAAAGGATATGAATAGGCATTTAGAGAAGAGGAAATTACAATGGCTAATATAAAACAAGAGAAACAAACTCCCTCATAATTTTTCAAATCAAACCCTTTTTTTTTTTTTTTTACTATAATGGCAAATTTTTAAAAGACTTATAATGTCAAATAGTATGATGAGTGGAGGGATATACACTGGCACAGTCATTTAGGACAGAGATTGTCAGAATCTACCAGGTCTTGAGATTTCTAAACCAGTTGACCCAGTAATCACACTTCTATGAAGACAATTCGTGGAAAAATTGGCAACAAACTTAATGTCCTTCAATAGTATACACTTGTTAAATAAATGCTGAGGGCTTTATACAACAATTTACAATAATACAGATGATTCTATAGTCATTAAAACTTTTTAAGACATATGCTCTGGTTACTATTGCTATAAATCTCTCAGACTTAGAGACTTAAAACAACCACCAGGACTCAGGCAGGGCACGGTGAGACCGGCGGCGCTCCGCTCCGTAAAGTCGGGAGCCTCCGCTGGGAGGACTCGAGAGCTGCGGGTTCTTCCTCAGCTAGGGCCTCTCCCTTTGCCTGGGCTTCTTCAGAATGATGATGGCCCAGGACATTCCAATCTTATGTGGTGTCTCAGGGCTCCAAAAGCAGGTATTCCGTTAAGCAGTGGAGAAACTGCATTGCCTTTCCTGACCTGGCTTCGTAAGTCAGACAGTATCACTTCTGCCATTTTCTATTGTCACAGCCTGCCCAGATTCAAGGACGGGGACATAGACTCCCTTTCTCAACGTCAAAGTCACATTGTAAGATCATGTGAGATGGGAGGCACTGTTGTGGCCATCTTTTGGAAAATACAACCTGCTGTGACATATTAGAGAAGAAAGCAAATTGCAAAATATTTATAGTCTGATGCCATCTATATTTAAAAAAAACTTTTGTGTGTATGCATGCAAATGTGATTAAATATGACTAGATAACTGTGCATGGCAAATACACAGAAAATCATTTAAAAGATATACCCTAAACTATTAACGACAGCTAGCTCTGAGGAGGGGAGTGAGATTACAGAAGCGGGAGATGGAAGGGGCCATTCACTTTTCCTCTAATGGGTTGAGACTTTGCAATAAGTTCCAAGTTGAGATCATACAGGTCAAGAAGTAGTGTGTCTGGAAAACTGCATGCAAGTAAAAATGGGGCATGAGACATGATTTGGTGCCAATCAAACCACCCCAGCTCAATTTCTTTTTTCTTAAAGATTGGCACCTGAGCTAACAACTGTTGCCAATCTTTTTTTTTTTTTTCTGCTTTATCTCCCCAAATCCACTCCCTGCCCCGCAGCCCGTACATAGTTGCATATCTTAGTTGCAGGTCCTTCTAGTTGTGGTATGTGCGACACCGTCTCAACATGGCCTGACCAGCAGTGTCATGTCTGCGCCCAGGATCCCAAATGGTGAAACCCTCTGCTGCCGGAGCAGAGCGCTCCAACTTAACCACTCAGCTACAGGGTGGCCCCTCAGTTTCTAAAAGGCATGATCAGGTGTCCAACTACTCAAATGTTAGACCCCACTGAGATAAGGGGGAGATGAGGGGAAAACATCAGAATGGATGTCCTGATGCTTGCGCCAGGCAGCCCAATCTGTGGCTAGACTTGTGTTTGTATGTTAGAGACTCTAACAACTCATGAGCTTCTGTGTGTTTGCTTTGTATCTCTTGAGCTTTCTAGTAAAATGTCCCTCTTAAAAAGCACGGTTTGCTCTCAACTGTAATCACAGAAAAAAGATATTTCCTACTTATCAGGATAGGTAGAAACATGAGGGCATCCATTTCACCAAGTGCTACCCCGGATCCAGACTCAGCTTGTGGGTGGAGCTAGGAGCAAGAATAAAAGAAGTAAGGTGTGGGGTGGGGGTTTCCTGAATTTAACCATTTTCAACTGAAATTATTCAAGCCTCTTTTTATATGTAGACTCAGTCTTTATTTTTTTATTATTTTGGTGAGGAAGATTAGCCCTGAGCTAACATCTGTGCCAATCTTCCTCTAGTATGTGGGACGCCATCACAGCATGGCTTGATGAGCAGTGTGTAGGTCAGCCCCCGGGATCCGAACTGGTGAACCCTGTGCCACCGAAGAAGAGCATGTGAACTTAATCGCTACGCCACCAGGCCTGACCCTACACTCAGCATTTAGTAAGCGTGTATTATAAACGTTCAGATTCATAACACTTTGGAGTTAATACCAAGGCTTACTGTAAAACCACAGTAATCAAGATAGTACAGTAATGGCATAAGGATGACCCTATGGAACGGAATGGAGAAGCCAGAAACAGTCACAAACTTATACGGTATTTGACTTTTGACAGAGATGCTAAAGCAATCCAATAGGGAAAGGAAAGTCTTTTCAAAAAGTGAGAGTGGGGGGGAACTGTTCACATAAATGGGGAAAAAAAAGAACCCCAATCCTTATCTCGTACCATACACAAAAATTAATTTGAGATGGATAATAGATGTAGTATAAGTTAAAACTATAAACCTTCTAGTCTAGAAGAAAGGATAGGAGAATACTTTTGTGACCAAAAGACAGGCAAAAGCTTCTTACAGAGGACGTAGAAAGAAATAAACATAAAATAAAAAAGTGGATAAATTTAACTTCAAAATTACAAATATCTGGAGCCAGCCCTGACAGCTCGTGGTTAAAGTTCGGCGCTCACTGCTTCGGCGGCCGGGGATTCACTTCCCAGTTGCGGAACCACACCACCCATCTATCAGTTGCTATGCAGTGGTGACGGCTCACATAGAAGAACTAGAATAACTTATAACTAGGATATACAACCATGTACTGGGGTTTGGGAGAGGAAACAAAAATTACAAATACCTGTTTTAAAGTCATTGTTAAGAAAATCAATAGGCTAGCCATGACCTAGGAGAAAATTATTGCAAAGCATATATCTGAGAAAGGAATAGTGTCTAGGATATATCGTGAAGTCCTATAACTCAATAATAGAGAATAAACAACCCCAAACAGGGCACTGAAACAAGATTCGAGTAATGCTAAGTGTAGAAAAATAACCAGGCATTTGAGGAAAGAATTAAACCAATACCCTTACCACCCTCATATTTTACCCAAACTCTGAATACAATGAAAGAATCATTTAATATTTTTTAAAGATAATGTTAATTAGCATAGAGACATGCCCATCAAAAAGGAAATCTGATATAAAAATAAATATTTACTTCCATCCATTAACCTCATCCTCATTAACTCTTCAAAAAATATGGGTAATAATAAGTCACTCACAAAAAAACTGAGTTACACATAATTATATTTTTATTTCACAGCCTTTTAAAAAATATAAACCACTAAGTATTTTGAAAAACATACACGGCATAATCATTTTAGCAGCCACAATATTATAAAAATAAAATAACAGAATGAATTGCACAACAGAATGAAATAATCTCTGGTGACTCATTCTGACTAGCAATACAAAATGTTCACTAGGAACGTGAAGTGGATTGACACCACCATTTTTCCGTTACCAACCACCACTAAAGTCAATCACAGGCCCTATTCCCAGGAGACCATTGTGTTTACACAGGAACATGTGCAATGTGTAGATGTGAAGTTAATATCTTGAATTTAGTTCCAAAATATCATTTCTCCTCTGGGAGACAAGTTCAATGGCAACATGGAGTAGTGAAGATCACGGAACACCAAGCACATGACTGGTTCAAACCTCTCCCAGCTAGTTCTAAGCACAAGAAACAGAAAAGTGTCTACTGTGCTATACAATACAATAGCCACTAGCCGCAAGTGGCTATTTACATTTAAATTCTTTAAAACTAACTAAAATTCTTAAAATTACTTCCTCAGTCACACTACCCACATTTCAAGTGTTCACTAGCCGCATGTTGCTAGTGGCTACTGTAGGAGACAGTGAAGATACAGAACATTTCTGTCATCACAGAAAGTTCCTTTGGACAGCCCTGGATGTGGGAAGTGTTTCTTCTCCCTTCGCTTAGCCAGGATGTAGGCTGCTTATGGAAGCAGCTTTGAGAAGCAATTCTTCTCCCAGGATATTCCTAGGGTGGGGTGGAGTCAGAGAAGGGAGTCAAGTAGCCTTTCTTTTCATAGATTACCCTGCCCTGTGCATGAAAAGGATCATCCTTTTATGGGGATCAAATATACAAACCAGGCTCCACCAAAAATCTGTCAGGAAAATTAGGGAAGAGATAAACAAGGCAGATGGGGAAGTAGCAAGGTGAAACATTCTTTATCCCATTCTAAACCTCCATAAAGAGATTATGTCCACCAAGAAAGTGTGCAGGTTTCCCAGGTCCTCCTCTAGAAAATCCTGATGTGGGGCAAATATATTGGCTGAGAGAGGTCAGTCCTGGCATGTGTTTGGTGAGAAAACCTAGCATGTCTTCACTCTGCTCACTTCCTCAGAGCAGAGCCCTGTTCTTTGGAGTGTTGCCAGGTGTGAAGGAGCTGTAGTTTTGATCTGTTTCAGACCTTATACTCCTTTACAGCTGTATTCTGTAGCCAGGGCACAGACTGCTGGTTGTCCACCCAAGATCCACCATCGTCTTCTTCCTTATCAAGAGAACTCAGATTTTAGTTGAAGGCAGTTATATGTCCAGCTACAAAAATTACATTTCTCATAGCAGTAGCCAATGACACAGTCTGGCCAATGAGATGTAAGCAAAAGTTGTTAGGCTGCTGAGAAAGCTCTTTAAAGGAAGTGGATTCACTCTGGCACGCCCTGTTTTCCCTTTGGGCTTCCTCCATCTTCTTGTGGGGAGTTGAAGCAACTGTCTTAGAACCTGAGGGAAAAGCCAAGGGGAGCTCAGGAGGGGCCACCTTGACCCTGATACCTGTGAGTTGCTGAACCAACACCAGCAATAGCCTGCCCCCGACCTCCTTGTCACACAAGAACAAAACGAAACCCCTACTTTGTTTAAGCCACCATTCAGTCCGGCAACTTCGAGACAGCAGTCCATCTTGATTCCCAATAGGAAAGCAAGATTCCCATCTGAAAGTGAAAAATATCTTGCCTGAAGAATCTGTATACATTCAATAAGTTCAAGTAATAGTAGAGTATAATAAAAGTTGGTATAAAAATTTTAACTTCCACCCACTCATGTCTACACAGACCAAGAGAGGAGGAAATGATTAGGCTTATTATGCGAAATAGCTGCTAGTAAGGAAAATAAGAGGATTTTTAGCTCAATCCAGCAGGAACTTTTTTCTGAGTGCCTATGATATTCTGATTACCATTCTAAACACAGGTCTGCCCTTCTGAAGACCCAAATTCCTATACGATAAGAGGCTAACTACTCAGATAATTAATGAGATCATTACTTAATCTATAACTTTATTCTGTGTAGACAAAGTAAGAAATGGAGAGTTGAGAATTTATTTCACTGATTCAAACCAAAAAAAATCAACATCAAAGATCTACAACTCAATTTTCAACTTTCCCTTGTATGTGACACACATAGCTGACAGAGAATTCCTAATCCCAGAGTTTTAATGGCAGATTTAGCTTAAATAAGCACAAGGACCTCAGAGTAGCTATACAAATTAAAAATGAAGTACAGTACTCTGCAAATGCTTTCTATATACTACATTAGTACCATTGGTATTCTAAAAGTCCCTAGATTAGTAGGTATGAGTTAGAAAAAATAAGAATTTCCCACTATCCTAAATGGTTTAACCATTTACAATGTTTAAAATTTTGGCCATTTAAAAAAATATAATTCTATTGCACTTATTTTGAAACTATAGACAAAATTGGAAACATAAAATGTCAAGCCAAAAATGGGATATTGCATATCTTTTACTCACCTACTTCCAAGTTCCCACCCCTGCAAGTGAACCAAAAACAAATCCTGGCACCTTGTCATTCCCAGAAAAGCCAGTACATGGCACACTCTGGGTAAATTTTCTCTCTTATTCTGTGGAATTGCACCAGATGGCATCAGTCCTGCATCTACAGCTGTGCCCTAAAATTGAAGTTCAGACATAGGAATCGACTTTATTAGACATTTTAGATTTTGCAGGTGTGAGTGTGATGTCATTCTCATTCAACTTAAAATGGTTATCTTTCCAAGTAGAACGGCAGATTCACCGCACTTGCAACTTCCGAAATCAGTGAAACCATTAAGATTATCCTAATAAAATTTGAAGTCATTTTAAACAGTCGAAATTCAGAAAGAACAATGAAGCAAGAACAACTGAAATAAAATACTAATATTACATAATAATCGAATTATTATGGCCCATTTCCTTATAACGTAAGAAATTCAACTCGGCTTTTAGCATTGCTGAAGAGTCACTAAAAACCTTTTATTGAAAATAAAACATAGGCATCTTCTATAATCAAGTTACACTTATATAATGAACAGTTATTTTAAATGTTGTTGACTTTTCAAATGTTTTCATGTCTAGCTCATATGTACCATGTCTTCAAAAACAGACTTTGCATAGTGATTTTCAGGACCAGGGCGTGGTAAGTGAATGGAGCAGCCAACATGTACAAGCTTGGAACCTAGAACACTGCAGGTGTCAGAGTAATAGATCAAGAACGTATACAGGTAGCAAAAGACGTGAGTACAAAAAGTGGTTTAAATTTGGGAGATCAGTCTATATTGAGTTTCGGAAAAATTATGATTTTGAATAAACGAATAGAAAAAGACAGCTCATATACTGGTGTCAAAGATTCAAAAGCGGAGTCTCTAACAAAGCAAGGGCAAGGAAGGAGACCAACAGAGCGAGTTCTGAGAGCAAACGTGAGGATTCCCAGAGTTCAGGGCCAAGTTCCAAGCAGAGAATGGGCAATAGGAATTAATATTTAACTTTTGCTTGAATAAGTAGAACTTAGTAACTAATGAATTCGATTACAAGGAGGTTATAAAATGGCACTGGATACAAGATAGAAGCGCAAGCACTCCTTTCACAGGAAACAGAGTGAGGAGACCCAGCAAAGAGTTTGGGACTCTTTAATACTGGGACGGCCGCCAACTACTCCAGGAGTTCTCTAGAGCCTCTCTAGAAGACTCAGGGGTGGTTTACACCTCTAGACACCAGCGGTGCTGCCAGGAAGATTAAAGGATCACAAAATCAAGAAGTCAAGTAGGTGATTAAAATAATTTGCATTCTGGTTATTTATAAAGTATGAAGTGATTGTTTTCCACCCTTGTGAACAACTATAATTGCTAATCAATTACTCCCACGCTCATCTTCAATGTCCACATTAACCATTCAACTCTATAACTAAATGCCACCGCAGAGGTTCAACCAATCAGAGAACTATTGTTCAAAGTACAATACAGAATCACTGCGGTTGATACTGGGATTCAAACCAGGGATTCTAACCAAGTCTTGTTCTAGCCCTGATAAAGAGAGGTGTGTATATAAGTGAGAATTTGCTAATGACTTTATGTTTAAAATAAACCACTTACTTCGCTAACAACAGGTCTATTCTAGCAAAGTGAAACAGAAAAAGTGGGAAATTATCTAAATGTCTCAGGCCAGAAACTTTATCCATAATTATTCACTTAAGTGAGACTATTTTTGCCTTCCCTTGAATTATCAAAATAATTGTCTTCCATTTCACTTGCATATTATCAACTTAGGCAAAACTTAGTATGTCATTGTTTTTAGCTCTCTACGTGGTCTTCCTTTGTGCCTAAATTAATATTTTCAATATTACCGTCAAGACATGGATGGCTTATCCTACCCTAACATGACTGAACCCAAATCTTCCCTAACAGAAGATAAATTACATCTGCCATACATATTCCACTCCAAGAACCCCTGCACTGTTTTCCAAAAGAGCAGAATGGTTATCAAAATTGCAAACACTCCTCACATCCCCGTCTACTTTCCATGATCCTCTACCCAGACACCGATTCTTGCATTCAGTTAGGCATCAGTCTGGCTTCTTGGCTCTAGTAGCAGCTCACCGGTTCTGAATGGGAGAGAGCCCTTTATTTCATTGCACCCATTTCCTCCAACCTAATCTCTCACTTTCTTAGGGCTTGAGTCTTCAGAAGTTTAGCCACAACCAGGGACAAAGTGAAACCAAGGATGGTCCCCGCTTACCATTTGCAGAAAACTTCCCTCTCGGGTTGTCAGGGTCCTCTCCAGGCAGCGTCCCCCATCACCGGGCTGTAAGCGCAGCTGCGGACCTCGGCATGCCAGTCCGGGGCTCGGCTCCAGAACTCGAGATGATGGAACTCGTAGAAAAAGTGTCTGGAAGATGAAGTGGTTATTTCCCAAACTCACATTGCCCGGAGAGTGCTCGGGGCACCCTGGTGAGTTTACTCCTGACCACCAATCTTCCCGCAAATGCTCTAATCATGTAACTGGAAAGGACGATCTCGCTCCTCCAGTCCTCCTTCCCCGTTGCCCTACAACGTGTAAAGGGTCACCTCTTTTCGGCAGCCCTCCAGGGCAACCTCGAGGCATCTCCCGTACGACTCTCACTCTGACACTCACCTTCGCGTGTTGCAGATTCTAAACCCACCCGGCGCGGCAACCTGCCCGCACCGACGGGGTCGGTGGCTAGAAAAGGAGTAGGGATTAAGGCGAGGGAGGGATTCCTCATAAAAAAATGGGCCACTGAATCCTCTCTCCCCGTCACCGCCAGTCGAACCACTTTCAGTGTCTACCAAAGCGCCAGGACATTTAAAGCAGTATTTGGAAAACTTCAAGTGCGCCCGGTTTCCCTCTGCCTCCCGTCCCAAAGCCCACACTCTTTCTCAGTAATTTGGATACCTAGGTTGACATTCGACTTTGTTTGGAAGTGGCTGGACTGAATTATCTGAATAATTTAGCTTTCCACCCTTTGGGTACCAGCTAAAGTGGAGTTGGACCGGGAAGAAGAGATTTTAGGTGCCTGAAGCCACTCCGGCTCCAAAGGCCGAATTTCTCTCTTCTCCACCTCTCCCGACCCCGGAAAAGCTCGGGGTCGGTCCCCCAGAGCACAGCGCCAGCCCAGACCCCATACGCCCCCGTCCTTGGCACCCGACCGTGCCGCGAGCCCCAGCCTCCCAGAGGAGAGAAGCCCGCTCCTCTGCCGACCCCTCGCACGCCCGAACCGACCTGCCGGCGCTGCAGCCGAGCCTGGCACCGGAACCAGGGCGGCCGCGTGGACGGAGAGTCGAGGCCGAGACCCAGGCCGGCGCCCGCGCGGCTCCGCGCCCTCCCGCCCGTTCCCGCGCCTCGTCGCTCACACCGCTTGCTCGCGGGAGAAGCCCCAAGGCTCCCGGTGCAGCGAGGGGCGACCGGGCTGGAGGGCCCCGGCCGTGCTGGCCACGGAGTTCTTCAGCTGCTTGATGACCACGAAGAGCAGCAGGAAAAGTAAGAAGAGCAGGAAGAAGAAAAGCGCCAGGTAGAGCAGAAAGTTGAGCTCCCACTCCATGCTGGAGGCGCCGGCGCCCGGTGGCCGTGCGCGCCGGGTGCGGGTTACCGCGCCGCCGCTGCTCCCACCTCCGGGGCTCCTCCCGCCGGCGCGAGGGTGCCCCGCCTTGGCCGCCTACTCCGAGGTCCGCGTTCGGCGTCCCCCAGCTCGGAGGAGGCGCGCCAAGGAGCTGGTGTAAGCTCGGCTCTCACTGTCCCCGCAGGCACGGGAGCTTCTGCTTCGCTGAGATCCTCGCCTGCGCTCTTGGCGACGCGAGCGGATTTTTCTAGGAGCGAACTTCAGCGGGCGGGGACACGAGAAGAGGTCACAGCTCAGCCTCCCAAGGGATGTTGGGGCTGGTGTTTTGCAAACGATCTTAAGATTTCCACCCCCAACATCCAGTGAGGTCCCTAGCCCCTCCCTTCCTAATTAATTTCTTTCATTATTTCCCCCCTGTCCCGGCTTTCCCAAAGGGCAGACGATGCCATGGCCCAGAGACCCGAAAGAATTAATGGTGACAAGGAAGTTGATCTAAAGGGCTATGAGATGACTTCGTGCTGTGAGATGACGAGGTGCTGAGTGAATGCAGTTCAAGCTGCTCGCTCTTTCCAGCCGCAGGCGCGCTCAGGATAAACTGCGCTTTTCTGTAGAACAGGTCATTTAGAAAAGCATTAAGAATAAAACGCACTTCAAAAGCTATATTGTACAAAGCTTTAGAATGTTAACTTGAATTGCAATTTCCTTGGTGAAAAGCAAAAACAAAACGACGACAAAAAACAATTTACTTAAAGTTGTCCTTTGAGTCCCTCACGCCTCTCTGTATTTGATTAGGATCACCCAAAGCCCAGGCGCCGCAGCTCTTAGAGTCAGATGTCAGCCAGGGCCGCAGTCGTCTGAAGGCTTGTCTGGAGCTGGAGGATCCACTTCCAAGATGGCTCACTTACATGGCTGGCAAGCAGTGCTGGCTGTTGGTGGGAGGCCTCAGTGCCTTCCCATGTGGGCTTCTCCACAGGGCTGCTTGGTTGTCCTCACAACGCTGTGCTGGCTTTCCCCAGAGCAAGTGATCCAGGAGAACAGGGCAGAAGCTGTGGCACCCTGTATGGCTAGCTTCAGAAGTCATCTACCATCACTTCTGCAATATCCTGTTAGTCACACAGGTCAGCCCTATTCACCGGAGTCGTCGAAGGACGCGAACAGCAGGGGGTAAGGATCGCTGGGGGCCATCTTGGAATCTGCCTATCAAACCTGCTAATACAACAGGCTATCCTTACCCACTCTGTGGACCTCCAACTTTATTTCATTCTTTATCTGTGATGATACGGGAGAGCCCCCTGGACTGAATTCAGGGCATAAGGACTGACGTACACTTCCCAGATTATTTAATGGGCTGCCGGTAATAAATGGCTGTTCCAGTGATGTCAGGGGGCTCAAAGAAACAGGGAGGAATGGAAAAAGCTGTGAACTGGAAGTCTCCAGGACCTGATTCTAATCCAGCCCCACCTGTCAGTGATCCACTCTACTCTCTGTCCCCTCACCTGGAACACACCTTCCTTTCTTTTTCCTTGGGTTTGTTGTGAGGATCGAAAACAGTAGGATGTTGAGTAAGAGTGTGTTTTGCTAGGTAATGTCAGATACTATTATTACTGTGTTACTGAGAGTCTCCAATGTTATAGACAACTGTACAAAATTTCCAGGGGGGCTGGCCCAGTGGTGCAGTGGTTAAGTTCCCACGTTCCACTTTGGCAGCCTGGGGTTCACCGGTTCAGATCCTGGGTGCAGACCTACACACTGCTTATCAAGCCATGCTGTGGCAGGCGTCCCACATAAAATAGAGGAAGATGGGTGCAGATGTTAGCTCAGGGCCAGTCTTCCTCAGCAAAAAGAGGAGGATTGGTGGCAGATGTTAGCTCAGGGCTAATCTTCCTCCAAAAAAAAAAAAAAAAAATTTCCAGGTCCCAGGCCTCTCCACCGAGCATCTTACCGTGTCAGGAATCTCTCTCTCTCAATAACATTATTGATCCACCTTGTAGACTGTGGAGTGCTGGAGCAGGCTCATAAAATTTTTTTCAAAACTTTTGCAAGCCATTTGTTAAAATATAGCTATTATTAAAAATCAAATCATATGAACTTATAATTAAATTAACAACAAACCTAATAAATACTCAAAACTCATCACTTCCTAATTATTTTACTACTTTTTATTTCACTATTTACTTCAAAATTACCTGTGCACTGGAGGTTATTTACATCTGTTGTAGCCGTATGGCTGAAATATTATATAACAGTATGTTACTGTACCTCTCTTCCCAACTATGTTCAGATGCTATGTGGGTAGCCTGAAATTGGCCCCGGTGGGAGTGTTTGCCCTGTGGAAATGTACAAATGCTACAAATCAGGGCCAGAGAGCCAGTCGTTAAAGTTTTACCAGCTCACCACTGCTAGCAGGGCTATTGAGGAAAATGTGAAGTCTTATACAAGTAAAGCAGAGATTTGAGATTTTTTTGACTACCCAGACTCCATACACCTCTGCTCTAAGCACTACATCTTCCTACTGGTAGAATTCTCCATTTTATGTACTCTTGACAAGAGGACAGATCCCAGTGATGGCTTTCCATTGCCACCACATTTATGGAAACCAAAGGGGTGAGGTACATCTTTTACTCACAGTGCAGGGAGGAAGGCAGGAAGAGCCATGCCAGAAACTCAGCCAAATATCCTTGATTCCAGGACTCCAAAGCTTAGGAGCAGATGGAACAGGAGGAAATGTTTGGAGATCAGATGCTCCCAGTGGCAGAGGAGTTCTGAGGGCCAGACCAATCCTGGGAGTGACCTGGGCGTGGCTCTTGCTGCCTGACTCCACAGCATCCTTGACTCTAGCCCTATTCCCAAACTTGGTCCTTCTGCCTCTTTTCTATTCTCTGAGCTTCTACTGGTAAATCTCCTTATTACAGCAATGCATAATGGTTAATGCCAGCTTGCAGATGAGAATACTGACTGATGAAGAAAGCGTTACTTACACAGCTTGCATATATTAAGTACTCATAATCAATAAGGTGTTTGGTAGAAAAGACATATGCCATTTGGCACATTGCAATCCAGATATCCAAGCCATCAAAGGATGGAAAGAGAGGTTAAGTGAACTGCTCAAGGTCGCACAGCTAGCAAGTGGCAGAACTGGGATGCAAACCCAGGGAGTTTGGCTTCAGAGCCAGCACTCTTAACCCCTATGATATACTGCCTGCCTCACAGGGAAAAGTACCCTTTTCTTGTGCATGACCATCAAATTAATGACGTATGTTTTTTCTTTTGGGTGTCAAACTTAAAAGAAACAAATTTCAAGAGACAAATACCTTCTGCTTACACACATCTCAGCTCCTTCCTTTGAAATCTTGAAAGTCAAAGCTTCAAATGAGCCGGTGTTCACCTGCAGAATGCTGGGGAGAGGCCAAGGGGTGAAGGTTTTGTGTCGCCAAGCTCAAAGCCATTCCAGTCTTCCTAACTATAACTATTTAGATTGCCCATTTATCTTAGCAGCTTAAATGGATTTATAAATATTAACTAATAAATCCTTAGATTCACTCTCAATAGAATTTGTATTTAAAATCATATTGTTGCCTCTAAAACAATTTATTACATTTATTAGATGCTCCCAGTGCTTTGCAGCCTCTGGTCATAATTATATACCTCATAAGATGGTCTCAATTTCAGTTCGTATTGTTATAAACGACTCCATAGAAATAAGACACAATCTTTCTCTGCCTAAATATGCATATTAATGGAAATCCACAGAAAGAAAATCCATGCATTTTTAAAGGCAGAAAAGACCCCCACTATAGATAAGAGGAAAGCCCTATGCCCAGACTGGTAGGGTGGAGGGAGGTTGTGTCACTACAGTCCCATACCACAGAGTGGACCCCACATACGCTCCCACTTAACACAGCAAGCCTCATCCACCACTCTGTGTCACACTTTGTGCGTCTTTCAGCTCCTCAGTCCCCTCCACAGGAGCTTCAAAACAACTGGATGTTGCTGAGGGCTGCTGCCATTCCTGGCCACGGGACAGGGATAGAGGGTGGAAGGACAGGGGTCGCCATCCCTTTGCCTGCCACGCTCCTCCCCACCCTCACCGCTGATAAGGACAGGGCTTTTATCATCACCAACATCAAAGGTATTTATGAGAAGCATTAATGTGAGCACTAGAAGAGTGTGTTTTATAAATGTGCTTCTCTGAAGAGTCTAAAGACCTAAGAAAACACCCAAGAAGCCCTGTAAAAATCTACTGGCTGGACTCCAGGATGGAACATACCTGGACTTACCTGTTGGGGGCCTCTGGAGGACAGAAGCACCTTCCCGAAGATAGGAACAGGATGAGAGTAGGAGAGTAGAGGAAAAGAGATTTCCAGGTACCTTTCTAAGATTGACTCAATTTGGCCTGAAATGAACCCAAAAGAAATGGAAGAGATATTTTGCACCATGCTCTGGCCTCAAAATGTGTTGTTGACCATGACTAGTAGCACGGGTTCTTAGGTAACCGCACACCTTTGCAGGTGCTATGGAGCGTAAAAATTAGACTACAGGTACATGGATTCTGCTCAGATGGGGAGTTCTTTAAGGCACGCATGCATGTGCTGGGGATGTGGGCCATACATTATGGAAGCTCTGCCCTAGTTAGTCAGGGCCTGAATCAGCACCAATGATCCTGACAACCCCTTATGGCCAAAAAATATCCCAACCATACTATCCCTGAACCTCTGACAGCCCATCTCCCTTGCTCCTGCCCCACACACGAATATACCACCATGTTCATTTCTAGGAGAGACAAACAGGGCTTCCTTGGACTTGCCCCCTATTTACACTCTTTATCATCTCTACAATCCTCTAGATCAGAATTAGAAAATCTGTGAGAATGTTCACTGTTGTAGGAGAGCAGAAAGGTGAGTTATTCCACCTCAGGGAGTCATATGAAGTTAATGGTATTGTAAAACCCCAACAATGGGATTTGCTCTCCACACCCGCACCTCTTTTCCCATTCCATCCTCAAAAGAATGACTTCAGCAGTTATGCAATGCTTACAAAATGAAATACTCTTCAGGAAATAAGTAAAACGTCCGTGATAAGCTACTTAAATCTCATGCAACCATTTAGGAATTCCAGGGACTCGGAAGGAAGAGAGAAAGGGAGGAAGGAAAAGAAGGAGGGAAGTCTAAGGAAGAAATTTATTTGAGGGGTATGTGGGAGATCATCCTATGTGGGTAGACTTTGAAATCCAGAATCCACCACTAAGAATAATTCTATAGGAAAAAAAACTTTCTAGACCCTGTCCTTGGTTTAGGATGTCTTAAAACACAACAGAAGATGCCCAAGTCTGTCCAATATTGAAACGGAAAAATATTAAATGACAGATTGTGGTAACAGCCAACACTGTTTCTTTAATTTAGACTCTTTCCAGTAAGTTAGCAGGAACATTGGAAAAAGTCGATGTGATGGTGGCCGACTCGAGACTTGATCAATACTATGTCATGCAGCAAAATAAAAACTCTGAGC